GTCGGCTCGGGGCGATGCTGCGGGGCGGGAGCGCGGGGAAGTGCCGGCAGCCCCGCCGCCCCGGGGCACACGGAGCAGCGCTGTCCGCCCGGGGCCGCGGGCAGCGGCCCCTCGGGAAGTTTCCTCAATGCAGCGGGCAGCCCTGGTGCGGGGAGGGAGGATGACTGCGCGTGTCGCAGTGTGAGGAATAGGGAACCAGGAGGCATGTCAGGATTAAAGGTATTAATTTTCTCTTCTCGCCCCCCTCCCCCCAGTTTTTGCATGCGGAGCCCATCGTCTGTGCGGGTCGTATCGCATGTACGGCCAGGTCTCTTCAGAGCCAGTTAAGGTTAAAATGGGATCGTCTTTTGGCAGTGGTACCCAGTGGAGACTGAAATGTAGAACAAGTTAAATCTCTGGAGATGCAAGTCAAATATCTTCCTGTGCTTTCTGTGCTTAGCTAGAAGCCCATAATCTCTGGGATCTTTTTGAATTTCTGCTGCTGAAACCACACATAAGTGTAAGCAAAAGGAAAAAGCAATTGATGCTGAACTCTGTGAAACTGACTTAAGGTCTCAGTATTGATCACTTTTGTGCCTTTCTTATGCATTTGCAGTTTGAGTGCCAAAATTAGATTTTATTCCTTCTTAAACCCCCTCTAAACCAACCAAAAACACACATCCCACTCACCCCTAGTTCAATATACTTCTCTGTCTAAATCCCTCATTAATTAACCAGTGTGTTAGTACCTATCTAAATAGTATTCAGAGAAATCCTGCTGGTTCTTTCCACACAGAAACGATTAGAAGTACTTTTCTCTGTGAAAATTGGTTGCCCCCCAAATACTGCAGAGTGTCTCAAAATACACAGTGACTTGGCATCTGTAGAAGCTTTTACCCCTGTTTTAAGTGCTGTGATAGGGGTTTTAGTAGAAATAAGATGTGTCAATGATAGTTCAAACAAACAAACAAAAAAATTAGAGAAGCAGGTGTTATGCCAGCAGTTTTTCTATGTGGTGAGTAAATATAATGTCTGTGATAACATATGTAACTATTTCTTCTGAAGCAAGATTCTCTGGAGAAAAATGTTACAAAGCTTCAGAAAGCTACATGAGCTATTTAATATAGAATATGTGACTTCTATTATAATGACAAAATATGTTTTTACCTGCAGGTATTTGCCATATTATGCGAGAAAGTCTAGAAAAATAGTTGTCACTTTTTAATTTTATTAATTTTTTTTTTAGAAAAATGCCCCTATTTTAGATTTCTCATGGTTTGGATACATTCCACATATTTCTAAAAGGATCTGCCCAGCACTTTTGGAGTGTTAGAAGTGGCCAGGAGATCAAGCCTGTCAGCAGTTATTAGGTAATTATTCCAGTAATCTAACAGTAATTTTAGTGATCTGGAGCTCAGGTTTGCAACCAAATTTGTTCCCATGTTCTTCCAAAGCTGATAGTGGTAAATTGGCAGCATAGATTTAATTGTGGACAAGTGAAGAACCAGGAGATTAATTGATCAACAAGCAGTTAGACACAAAGCCATCTTGCAGTTTTTTGTATAGTTAGGATTTTTCTCCAAGAGGTTTCTAATGCTGTATGTTTCTATTTATCACAGTTATGAAAGCCATAAATAGAATTTTGAAGGTGAAATGTGGCAGACTGATGCTGACTGCTGAATACGTTTGCTCTGAGTTGTCAGCATCAAGAATGACTGAAGTATGATTTCTTGATTTTGAATCTCCATCCATGGATATTTATTTTAAATTTTAAAAGTTTCTGCAGGATACATATGGCAAATTTCTCCACATCTTCTAATGTTCTGCACTTTTTCTTTTTTCATTTTTCTTTTGCCTCTATTTTAATGTTGTGTTAAGGAGTATTTTTACATTCAGTAGATACTTGCAGATGTCTCATACTAATTGAGAATGCATTAATCTAAGTATGTAAATCCTTAGGAAACAAGAAATTGAAATGAAATGTGAATGTCTGAAATAGAGAAATGGATAACATCTTCCAAGCTACCTTGCATCTGTTTTTGCAAAGCTTCTGTCTTAAAAAATACACATGGCAGCATGTTTAAAGATAATTTTTTTGATATGAGTTACTAATGTTTTTAAAATTTTGTGCTAAGGTTGTAGAAACCAGCAATGCTAATTTCCCACTTCTATATGTTTCCACAAATCTTCAGAAAATTCCAAGTATTATTACTGCCTTGAAGTGTTGTGGCTTTTGGGGCAATCCTAAGTCATGAAGACACTGAATTTTTTTTGATAGGCCTTGTATCAGTCCCTGACAAAAAAGATGAATGCTTGCCAGTCTTTTAATGATCTGAGTGACAAAGGAATAGTTTGGATTTGCCTAAAAGAGGGAGTTCATTTTATTTGGAAAGGTGCATACAAATTTCAAAGCTAAGAAATTTCACTGCAAGTATCACAGCATTCATATTGGAGCTTATTAGCTGGATTTTGTTTTTCCCTTGTGAACTTCAGAATACTTAGCCCTCGATTAATTTTTATTTTCTACATAAGTAGAAGTTAATTGGGGCCATTTGAATCCTACTGATGGAAGTCAAATGGCCCTTATTAAGCACAAGGAGTTCTTTACAGCTCCATTAATGCTTACCTAAAGTCCTGCCAGAATGATACTTTGCAACTACTCCTTTTGCAGACTTTATGAGCTTCCTGGAAAGTTTACCAGAACCAGTGAACCTTTTTAACATTAATATTTAAAATATTAATGTATTTTTAAATTTAGAATGGAATTTGTTGATGTCTACTACACTGATGGGTAAAAGAATCATTTGCAATTGAATAGATATGTGACAAAAGAGGTGACATTCTTAAGGAGTCAGCCTTTGAACCTGGTGGGCATTAGAGTAAGTGTTCCTGTTCCAGGATTGTAACCCCTTGGAGCCAGAATCTTTCACACCAGGAGATTCCATAGTGCCCCAGTCTACGGAATCCTCTTGTTCATAGCAGTGAAGGCAAGAACCTGCAGGTTCTGTAGGGGTTAAAGTAATAGCTTTTTGCTAAGAACATTTCCCAGTTTTCATCCCTGCCTTCTCTCTGAAGTGTTCATACAGCTGTACAATAGACTTTCATAATTCTACCACATTAATTTATACTCATTTACCAAAATTTTTGCTCTGCCTTGAATTCTATATGCCAGGAAACAAGCTCAAACATACTAGAATAAATGTTTGGCTTTGTGTTTTGAAAGGTTAAGTAAAGCAGACATAATGGTTCTTGCTTTCAATATCAGCTTTAATCAGAATACAGGATCTCCAAAATGAAGACCACTGTATACAATTGTACTGTTTGTTTTCCCAGCATTAAAAATTAAAGTTCAGATAATTGAAAATGTTAAAATGTAGATCTACATTGTTTCAAAGGCAATATTAAAAAATTATAATTGCATGGGGTTTTTATGAACATTTATTTCTGGGAACGGAGGAAGTACTTTACAGAGAGCCCAAATTAACAATAATAATGAAAGAAAGACAAAAGGAAATGTTCTGATTTAGGGATCACTTTTCACTTTCTGGAGTGGAGTGAATGTCATGCCACTTCCCACTTACGCTTGTATTTGGTTTTGGAAAGATTCCAAATTGAAGTTTAATATGCACCACTGTCCAAATGCACCTTGGATGGCTACATAACTGTTAATTGATAGAAAAACTGACTGCCTAAAAGGATGGAAGTGCTTTACACTGCAGTTCAGGAGCCCTTTGTGGCCAGCAGTAGTAACAGAGTACTAACAGTCACTCTTCAGAAGAAAGAAATGAAGACTAAATCCACTTTTCATATATAATAAATGCTGCAGAAAGTGTTGAGTAGGGTGTGGGTTGCACAGTTAGACACAGCGATGTGTTGACATGTTTATTTTCATCCTTGCTTAGTAGCAAAATGCTAAATATATTCTTCTTTGGTTACATTAAAGTATGTTTCCTTTCAACTTTGTCCTTGGGTTGACATGTGTTTATTTTATTTTTAGCACTTGAAAGCAAACACAGTTATATCCCTATAGGGTGCAGTGGAAACACTAGAATACAGTATGAGAAAATTAAATCAGTTGCTTAATAGTGAATTGTTGCAGGTGAAGATCTTGATACTGATTATGATCACAAAAAACAAGTGGACTTACAGGACAGAATATTGTGAGATTTGATGGGGAAATCACTCTTACCTGCTTGCTCACAGTGAACCTTTCTTCAAAAATAAAGAATAGAGCTGTGTGATAGAAGACTGTGTTTTCTATGCTTTTGTGGGTGGTTGTCAAGTGTTTAGTGTTCATTGAACATGAAATTTCTGTGAATTTGTAATAGTGTTTTATTCTTCCAAGCTTTTCTTGGTGGTGTGAAAGGTGGGAGAAACATGCAAAAACACTTCATATGAATTATTGGTGAAAGAAGTCTCAAGGATGTGCAATTTACTCACCCAGGAAAAACTACCCTTTGAATTACATTTTATTTCATGGGGGTTTTAGAAGGTTATAATATTTTCCTAATTTTTTATGTCATATTGAAGCCTTTGAAAGACTATAAATTCCTAGTGAGCTTTAACAATTAGGCATTAATTTGAATAAAAAGGTTTGGGGTTTTTTTTCTAAAAATGAGCAAGAATTATCTGAGAACATGATTTTGGTACATTTTAAGCCACTTAAAAAATGGGAGCATTTACTGAAAATGTTTCTGAGGATGGAAAGGAGATATCCAGTGAATAAAATAAAGCAGGGAGATAGAGGAATCAGTGCTGTTTCAAGCCAAATCTGTTTCCAGTTCATAGAATTGGGAATCCTCTAGGATATTGTGCTGAGTTTGTCTGGGGAAATGTTAATTTTCTTCAAACTGTACATAGTTTGGGGCTACATTTTGCATTTGTCCTGAAAACCATGTTGATAAGAGATGTTTTTGTTATTGCTAAGCAGAGCTTACATAGAGCCAAGGCCTTTTCTGCATCTTGTGCTGCCATGCTGGCAAGGAGACTGGGGATGCACGGGAAATTGAGAGGGGACACAGCTGGGACAGCAAATCCCAACCCACCAAAGGGGTATCCCATAGCATATGACATCATGCTTGGCAGATAAAGAGGGGTGAAGAAGGAGGAAGGGGGGGATGTTTGGAGTGTTGTCTTTTGTCTTCCCAAACTGTTACTCATGGTGTAGCTGTGGTTTCCTGGGAATGGTTGAATGCCTGTCTTCCCATGGGAAGTGGTTCATGAATTCCTTGTTTACTTTTCCTGTGCATGCAGCTCTTGCTTTCCCTAGAAAACTATCTTTATCTCAACCCATGGCTTTTCTTACTTAAGTTCTAATTCTTTCACCCATCCTGGGAGATTGAGGTGGTGGGCAAGGGAGTGAGTGGAGGTGTGGTGCTTACTTGGCAACTCAGCTTAGACAGTGACAGATATTGACCCAGAGGAGCATCCACAAGTGGAGAAACAGAAGACTAGTAAGGGAACAATACAGAGTTAGATTTGAAAGTCTGGACACTGGTTGAGAAATTATGCAGTTAATGACCTCGAGCAATCAATTAAAAAAGCCTATATATTACTTTGTTCTGTTGCCTCCAGGTATGGAGAGAAAATGAAAGGACATTGTGGCCTTTTTGCCAAAAGCCACACTCAGAAAAACAAACATATATAGGAAGCCAGTCTTTGATATTTTATGAGAAAATGAAATAAAATTTATTAGAAATGAAAATAAAAAAGAAGATATATTCTTGTGAACATGTGTTTAAGGAAGGTCTGACACAGATGGCCAACACATCGTTTAGTTTCATTGATAAATAAAAAGTCTCAGTCATAGGATATGTATACATAATAGAGTTCCAGTTGTTTGAGCACAGTAGATTAGTGGTACAGTTGCAGCAGAGTCACTGCAACAGCTGGCTTTAAGACACCTGGAACCAAGACAGTATGAGGGGCTATAGGGAAAAGTCATCTGTGGGAAGGGACTTCAGGAGAGGTGTCCAGATTTCACTCCCTGTTCTATTCTTCCACATGAAATTGTATCTAAGTTGGTCTCATTAAGTTTTGTCCTATAATTTCCTACTGTTTTGAAGCCCTTGAAGTAATTTATTAAATTTTGGAAAATGTACCTGGCTAATCATGACTGAAGTAGAGGCCTTAATCCTTCTCTTGAATGGACAAGTAGGAGAGACATTCTCTGTTGTTCAGAGAGAGCTTCTGCTCTTAACATTTGCAAACTAAGAGGGTAGAAAGTAAAGGGAAATGTGTTTTGCATACATTGTAGCCTTTGCTCGTTCTGCTCCCCAGACAGGGCCTACCTGCAGTTGATTTCCAAAGGCTGGCATTTGTGCTAGCAGAACTACCAACAGTTTATGTGAAAATATCCTTTCCCATCTCA